TTTCAATCACGTTATATATGTCTGCTCAGGCAACATGACGCAGCGATACGCTGGCGCGTAGCCAGTGATATAAAATATTCTTTCATCTCTATTTTTCACAAAACTAAAACAGAACTTCCAATCAGAACTCTCAGATTGTACAAAGGGAAAAGAAAAAAGAAAAGCAATAAAAGTTGTCAGATACCGTACACACGTATATAATCACTCCAACACCTTTTCAAAACTAACATAAATTACTTAAATACAAAAGTAGAAACATTAACACTTCAATTCAACAATTTTAGGCTTCTGTCACATTTTTAACCTAATCATCAATACCCAATACTTGCGTTTTTCTAATTGACTACCTTACCGCGAGATGACGACTGAAGGGTCATCGGACTTTCTTGACGTAAAAGGCGCGGGGGCCCAAAGGACTTGGCTGAACCGTGTTCGAGACTATCTTCTTCTCTCTATTTATGACAAAAATAATTCGTGGAGAATGGGAACAAGAGGGACAAAATTTTTCTTCAGGGATTATTTTGGTCATTGTTGTCCAGCTCGTTTGCACTTTTGCTTTGAATTGCATTAGAATCTCTATTCATGCTGGCTGGGTAATCGTAGCTTCCTCCGGTTTCTTATTTCCGCGGCAAAAACCTCAAACTCCCCTTGTTCCGCACTAGGGTTACCCCGAATGACGTTTGTACTTCGTAGGACCTTGGGCTACTGGCTGGAGCCACGACCTCCGCATTCACTTTCACTTCCATCACCCATACCCGATCGCCGACGTAAAGTGTCCCCAACGCTTTCGCTCTGTGGCGCTTGTTAAACCCTTGACGCTGGTTATCTCTTGCACTGTGGTCTCTTCAGATTAACTCCGCTTAACACAGGTTTGCCGGATGCAGTTGTTCGGGTACCATGGGCAATCTCGCTCAAAGTCGTCGATCCATTAGTATGTCAGAGGAACACTTCTCACTTATACCCGGAGTCGACCTGCAAGCCAACAACGCAAGGTTAGCATCGGATGACGTGCGTATCAATCTTTTGACTGTTTCGACCATTTGTTCTGACTCCCTATTGGCCTGTGGGAGTCGCGGGTTTCTTGTTCGGTGGCAAAAGCAGTACGTTTCCTCAAACCTACCGAACTCCGACAACACAAACTGCGGTCTGTTATCGCAAATTACCGTTTCCGGGACCGCATGACGCGCAAAATTCCGTCTCAACTGCTTGATCACCGCCGCTGTCGTAGTTGATGAAAGAGTGGAAACTTCGGGATATCTGGAGAGATAATCCACCACCACCGTGAGGTCCGCCCCTTTTATCTCACAAAGATTGATTCCCTACTACTGTCACGAAAACTGGGCATCATTTGCTCACAGCTCTGATTAGCGAATTGAGCGCATACTTCAAAGCTACGGATCGCAATGCAAATCTGCTTGCTCAAGCCTGGCCACCAAACGTACTCTCGAGTACGTGCCCGGCATCTGTTGACGCCTTGTCGGCCTTCGTCCAACCGCGTCAATACTTCCGACCGTAGTTTTTGTAGCGCAAATATCCGGCTACCGTTTAGCAAAAATAGATTCGCTTCCGTTATCAGAGCTCTGCCCTGCCAGTCTGGCTGAAGAAAACACGGCAGTGACGACTTTATCGACCAGTCCTCTCGACGTAGGTGTGTTTAAGATTCATAAACCTCGTTCATCCTTTGATTCTCTTGTACTTTTTTTTTCAAAAGTGTTTTCTCCTCCCTCTAGGCCCATCAAACAAGTTTGCGTATAGCTTGAGACTTCCGCTACTGAAAGAACGCTGTTTCTGCCTGTCTCGGCGAGTGGGGCACGAGACAAAGTATCTGCTGTGGCAATTAGCTTGCAGAGAACGTATAAAACTTTGAACTTCTACCGTATGAGTCGCAATCGAAACCTATTAATCCGAGGTGGTAAAATGTCAACCGGCGTTTGCCCCTGCAGCGCTACAAGAGGTTTATGATCGGTCTCAAATGCTGCGTGTTTTTCTGAAGAAACTCCCGTAAAGGAGCTGTTTTTCCTGATAGGTGGGATAGAAAGCGACTTAAGTAATTGGTCATTTCGAGGACCCTTCTGACTTCAGATACATTGGTTGGAGGCTTTAAATCTTTGATGGATCAATCTTAATTCGTGTCGTGTGTTATGCCTTCTTCGCTCTTGCTGTAGCCCAAAAACGTGACTTCTCTGACGCTGAACACACACTTCTTTTTGTTCAGCGTAACGTTGGAATCCACAAGCTTGTCAAAAACTTCTCTTAGCCTTTCATCATATTCCGCCTGATTCTGTGCCTACACCAAAATGTACACCCTGAATGTCTTCTAAAATGGCCGAAATCCGTTTTTGAAAATATTCCGGAGCTGATGTTACTTCAAATGGCTGCCTTGTGAAACAGTATTTGTCAAATGGCGTCATGAACGTTGTCAGTTCTTGGCAGGCTTCCGATAGTTAAACATGCTGAAAATCCGAGTTTGCATCCAGCTTAAAAAAAAACAAAAAAACTGATGCGTCACCAAGCAGGCCAAGCTTTTGTTTCACTGCTAGCAAAACATACCACTCTCCACGAACAGTTTGGTTTAATTGCGTCAAATCCACAGAAATACGAACCACGCCTTATGCTTTTCAGACGGGCACAATTCCTGCGCACCAGTCTGTGGGTCCTTTCATCTTACGTATTACGCCTAGCTCTTTCATTTTGGCTATTTCGCTTTTCACAGCTTTCATCGTGGGACTGGGAACCCTCTGTGCTGAATTAACATCAAAACGTACGGCGTGAGGGGTGAGCGAAATGGTGTATTCTCCTGGAAGGGCGCCTAAGCTGTTAAACAGCTGCGGGTACAAAACTTCATAGCGTTCGCTTTTGCCGATGCTATCTACAAATATAATGACCCCTAAGGACAAAATTACCGGCAGACCTAGCAACTTTTCACGCAAAAGGCTCATAACATACACTGTTAGAAGAGACACCTTATCTTTCCATGGTATTTCTGGCGTAAATTTTCCCAAGACAGTCAATCGTTTTTCGTTCGCCCCCACCAAATTTTCTTCGACTCGATCCAGCTTAGTCGGAATGCCTGGAAACGTACATGGAACAACAAGCACCTCGGCACCCGAGTGTACTTTCGCGAAGACAGGAAGACTGTTAAGGGCTATCTGCACATACCGTGCTTTAGCGGCCGTTGTATTTGCGGGCTGCTTAAGCGAATGTACAGGCTTTTCTTCAAAGGCAACCCCTCGTACCTTTTGTGGTTTCCCCGCTTCAGTTCTGAAAACTTCTGAAAACCTTGCTGAAATGGCCGCGGTTGCTGCAGTTGAAGCACCCTGCCGCTCTCGCTGGACAGGCTGACCGTGGGTACTGGTTACCTTCATAGGACGAACAGGACCACATCCGAGAAAAAGCCAGTTTTTCGCTTCCTTGACACCCCGATGTTCCACTGTAACGTCTTACTGCATCGATGTTCACGTCTTCCGATGTTACAGGCGATTCTACGGGACGCGGTTCTCGTCGCTGCTAAAGTACCGTCTCTTTCAACCTTGCTTTTGCCAACGCAGGAGCAAGGGTAAGCTGCTTCATCTGAAGTGTTTCCGACAGCTTCTCGTCCCGCATGCCGGCGACCAGTCGATCACGCAGCATTTGTTGTTTGAAGTCCCCAAAATCACAGCGGTCTGCTAGCGCGTGAAGCGTTGTCACTTAACGGTCGATGGTTTCGTCTGGATTCTGCAGACGCCGAATGAAAGCAGGCGCTCTCGTAGACGACGTTTCTTTCTTTCATGAAGTGCTCAGTAAACTTCTTTCCGACTTTTTCCTAGTCTTTTGAGGCTTCCTCGCTCAGGCCGAAGATTGAGAAAAGTTTCCGTTCCTGCCTTCGTAGGGTATAGAGGTTCTGACCTGAACCTCGCCGCTCCTTTCGTTGCGACCGTTTGTTAACCGGTAGTCTTCGAACTCTTGAACCCACACTGACCATTCTGACGATTTGTCGAAGTCCAGTTTAGGTGGTGGTTGCAGTTCCAGTCCGACTTGAGCTGGTACCGGTGACCATATGGCTCCCTCTTCGGGCATGTTCCTGGTCAGACAGATCCCGCTCCTGACACCATATCGTGTTGCGGCAAAAGCGACGGAGAAACAACCAACACGAAGTTTTCTGCAGAGCGAAGAAGCCCGCGTTTATTTTTTTATTCAATTATTTTATATAAGTCTGCCAAGGCAGTACGACGCTACAATACGCTGGCGCATAGCCAGCGATATAAGATGTCGCTTCAAAGTGTAAGTGCATAATTTATTGAAATTGTTTTATTTTTTATCCGAATAAAACTGCGTTAGTCTTTATCATATTTACATTGAAACTGTTACTTCAGACCAGACTAAAATGGAATTTCACGAAAAATGGCATGACATATCTATGTATCCGCATCAGCCATTGACAGAAACAGAGTCGTGTTATCAGCATGTATAATGAAGGGCACTTGAATATCGATACTGATGAGATTATTGATATAATGATAGGAGTGTCTGTGGAAGCAGCGTCTGTGGGAAATTCCGCAACTGAGTTAATCTAGTGACGTAGGTGCCACCACTATACCACACGACACTCCGTCGGATTTAAAGATTCACAGAACCCTCGCGATGGGTGCTTGAGCAGCCTCGTTGCTGTGCTCGCCGGAGGAGGACAGTGGATGTGCCTTGCGAATATGATATTTAAAACCAAAGTTAATTTTTTTCAATTAAGACTATTGATACACTTTATTTAAATCAGATTATTTTGATTTAAATAACTGAAGCTAGAATACGCGAATTACTTCTAACTGAACGCAGTTTTCAACATGGCAGGTTAGTTGGGTCAGTTATGGCGGCGACCATGCACAGCTGATGCAAAGCGTCTGCAATGTATAACGTTTTTATAGGAAATTATAGAACATGGGTCGTGTTCATGCAAAAGTTTTTTTTTTAATGTAAACTCGCTGATATAAAAGGCCTATATTAGGGTGGCACGCAACAGTACTCACACTCGGTGTGGGCAACGGGCCGGTTACAGTTCGCCGCAGCGGTGGCAGCTGAACGGTCCAGTTGAGAGCAGCATGTCCCTCGCAGTCGTCCGGGAACAGCGTGTCGCAGATTTCCGCCGAGTCCATCTCCGTGTGCTTCAGCACAAAAAGGACCTCCTCCTGCCGTGCACAGAATAGCCAGGAGCGCTTGAGGTAACACCGAGGAATCGCAATTATCAATGGGCTGCTAGTCATAGGGTGTGGCTGAGGAAGTTTTCGGGCTTCGTCATCGGTGAACCTGGGGGAGTCTCACATTCTGACGAATTCCTAAAATGCTATCACAATAAGGCCCGGTTCACACATGAATTTAGGCGCTGAAATAAAGTAAATTGTAGTGCTACACCGGAGCTACAACCAGCTGCGGACTCAGAGTTGAGTTTGCATTATACTGTGTGTATGTGTGTGTGTGTCTGGGAGAAATGGCGGGTTCATAAGCAAAGGTGTGCTGTTACAGCACTGATAAAGCGAAAAGCGAGCGTGCAGTCTATAGCACTGAACTCGAACCGCGTATCTGTTTGTGAGGAGGTGTCATATAGGTCCGCTCACAAATACGCCTCGGGGCACACTCGGAACTAAAGACGAAGCGCTGGCTTTGAGCTACCACTGCGCTTTATGAGTGCTCTCATTCGTGTGACACAGCCATCTCGTGCATACCAACGATTCGGTGCTAAGCCCGATTTAACTCAGCGCTGAGTTAGTAGCGCTGATGCAGCGATAACTTTGCGTCATCTCAGCACTGAGATACATGTGTGAACAGCCCTTTCAGCCGTAGTTACACTGCCCAAATGTGATACAAAAGACGCAGCGTTCGCTACCGAAGCGATTACATAATTATCTACCAAGTTTGCTTCATACAAATGCTTACTTTGAACATTTTTGGAGAGTTTTTGTATGATGTAAAAGCAGTGTGAACGCTTCTGATGCAAGGGACGCACTGTTCACTGTTACGCACTCAGTCCTAATCTCACTTGAGCGACAAACTGCAGCGGCTAACACGAAGCCACCTCGACCACGCTCAGAACGCTCGCGAAAGTGACATTGGCGGGCTTGAATTTAATACTGCTTATTTCTTCAGGCCTGAGATATCGCTAACTCGCATAAAGCTACCTTCTCGTGCGTTCTCCACATGCTTGAGATTGACCGTTTTCTGTAGTGGTTGTTTGTTGCTCGAGTGGGACTAAAACATGACCACGTCGGCGTTATACAGACAAAACAATACAAAACATGGTTCTTTTTGTTTCATTCCACACAGTGCTTCGAATACCCTCAGCCTTATATTTGCGTATAGTCGCTTATCACTAACACATTTTATGTTCTTGAAATTTTAAAGTTTTTTTACTGATAAATAAACATAGTATTGTTTTAGACAGAAGTCTTCCTTGAGAGATAAACATACCATTGGTACTTCTAATGCGCAATTAACTTATTACCGTTAGGAGAGCCGGCCCTTATGGAGCTATACACCTGACCATTCGCATTATGCAGAAGTATTCAATTATTTTTAGTAAATTCGCAGTATTGGGTTTAGGCTTTTTTGTCAGTGTGAACCGATATTTCGTGACAAAATACATCCAGATATAACTTTACCTCAAAGCCCTTTGAATCGAACCAAACAAACAACAAAATACTAACACTTTTATTATATTCCAATTTTTTTTTTTCTGTTTTAAAATTAAAAAAAAAAATATTCAACCTTTCAGCTATATAAGTGCAATGGCAAGGTTGCTCAGAGCGTGCCACATATTGTTACGAATCAAATGGCGAAGAAAAGGAAATGACTGAAAGCAGCGCTATATCGCTGCTTGTATATAAGAGCAATGTTCCAGGAAGTGTCTACATTAAAACATTCCGTCGCAGTCAAAAAGGAACCGTAACTTTCAAGACGAAAAAAATACTCGTAAAAAGAAAAAAAAAACGAATTGTGTCTGTTGGTTTGGACTCCAAATATTCGCGTGGTAGTGACGTGCACTGCCAACTATATACATCATTTCTCGTTAATATTGCTCCTCTTAGTATGGATACCCCACTAGACAGAAAACAATTTTGCCGGAAGAACTGGAGAAATATATGCACATATTCTCGTTATTATGGGCAGGTAACATTATGGAGGCCTTTTTGGGGAAAACGGAGGTGTCCATATTGAACGATGCATTGCTGTACCACGCACGCGGCAATATTTTACGCGCTCATATGTGTCATTTTATTTTATTTTAAAGTGAATGAAGACATAGTTCAAAGCACGTCAACAGCTGCCGCGTGCCTTCATGAAAGAGCGGACGACTTCGAAGTAGTGACTAACAAAAATTTTGGGTTTATGGAGCCAGTCGTCAACCTGCTCGATCAGATGAAGAGGGACTGCGCGGCGCACCATTTGCACTTATCTTACACTGGTTGTCAAACGGTGCCGAAAAAAAAAAATGACCGCATTTTTACGTGGTAAATTATGTTGATTGGGGCGAAGCTCTGGGGGTACTTGTCTGTTTAGACGCTGAGCCACAGCATGCCGAGCCTTTCGTTCGTTTTATCCATGTCAGAAAGAGAATGTGTGGCACCGAACGTGGTTATGTACGCATTTGAGCATTTGACCGCAGCGCCCTCTCCTGTATAGACGTTGAGCGGCTACCTGCAACGTTTCATCCATGACATCCCCAGATCTTGAGCTAATACCACATCTCAGAACCCCCTACTGGTCCCGCAGTCGTGGCCGAGTGCTTAAGGCGATGGACTAGAAATTCATTGGGTCTCCCCGCACAGGTTCGAATCCTGTCAACTGCGCAAACTTTTCTTTTTCTTTTTTTTTCATCATTTTTTTTTACCTACACGAGCACTTGAGCACGTCCTCACGTGCTCGTGAGCACGTGAGCTCCGTAGCACGAGCACGAGCACGAGCACGAGCACCAGCAACATCGATGTGAGCATGGACGCCGGACGGTCAAGGCTAGACACTAAGGGGCTTCCCCCCTAAAAAAAGAAAACCTGACAAAGTAGCCTCCTCTCACCGCGAAAGCTCTACACCTCTCATTTTCGATTTCATGCTTTTATTATTCATGGCCTATTGCAATAGCTCAAACACAACAAAAGTCCGAAATGTTGAGAGGCACAGTTTCTGCTCAGGTGCTTTTCACTCCAGTGTGCACCGGCCTGGGGGCCGACTCCTCCATGCAGGGAACCAATACTGAGCAAGCTCTCACTGCTCGGGGCACTTGGCCAAGATCTTGCGTTCTTAACTTCGTTCTCCCATCCGAGAGGCTCTGCTGATGACCGGTCACCAGTGGACGGTTGTCCTGCGTCTCCCACCTTGGCGGAAGCTGCTTGCTCGAACCATGCAGGAACTCGGTTCGTTGTCTTTGTTCGCCGATTCTGACTATTGCCAGGAACCTTCGCTTCTCTTGATGTTACTCTGGTCGGATTATAGTACTTCGCGGAGTGCCGCCCTCAGCCAAACGCGATACTGATGCCGCTTTCATTCCATGAATCCGCGTGGTGTAGTCGCCTGGAACGCATAGGACACTAGACCAAACCACGACTTCACCGTGGCCTCCAAACATCTTGGCCCTTCCCTAGAGTTCCTCAGAAGCACAGTCGTCCCTACTGCAAACAAACTTTGAGCTTTCCTTCGACCACGCGTCTGCTGGAACTGCTTATGATCTGCCAATGAGAATACCTTAGGCCTCACTAAATTGAGCCGTGTTTTTAGGGGTGGCCCTAAAGGAAGAAGCCTCCTGTATATTTTCGGTGACTGTCGTAAGACTAGGAAAACAATGAGCCGCCAACGTGGTCACAAGCACAACGTTTTGCCGCCAGGCGCGCCTCTGAAACAGGGTCGCTTAAATGCGGAACGGATGGATGCCATGTATCCATCCCTTTCTTCTTGTTTGTTTTTTTTTTTTAGTATTTGAACGGTACGCTAGTGCCCTAACACCCACGCAATCAGAAAAGAATAAGGCCACGAAGAAAGTGTGGCGCTCCGATTGGGCTTTTTGCTATGTAAACGTACAGCTATTTTCGGACGAAGCACGCTGCATACCTTAGTGTAGCTCGACAGTGCATTCTATGTCCAGTTTTTTTTTTTTTTTGACGGATGGCGGCAAGCCAATTTTCGCTGAACTAAATGTCAGCGGAAACTTTATTAAAAGGAAGCCGCAAACAAGCGTATACATATGGTTGATGAAAATGAGCTTGAAAAAAGCTGGCGCAAAAAGAAAAGGAACAAACACGACAGAACGGAGCTGAACCAAAGCCACATATACACGAATTCATCTCTGTTACGTCACGGCGTAGTGGTGGCGCGTCGGGCGCACTTCCGGTCTGGGGCTGGGGGCGGAAGCCGCCTTGGGGCACATGCATTCATGTGTTACTTTGGAAGAACCGGACGAAAACCTGCCTTCTCGTCAAAACGCCGTGACTGGGGCTGCACCAAAACAGTCGGGAAAGGTTCGAAGAGCAGCTTTCTTGCGTTTTCTGCCTGCTCGGGTCGTCCGAAAAAGTGACTAGGGGACGTGAAAAACGAAAAAAACAGACGCGGTCGGACCAGGATTGGTTGGGCAGGTAGCACTATGGATTAAATTTACGGATACTTGTGGTCGTCAGATTTATTTGTTTTGTTCCGACGTGAGGGTGGGAAAACCGTCAAGTTGCACGGACCATCTGCTGACTACGTTCAGTGCGTCATCGCGTTCAAACGGCCGCTTCATTGTTCGAGCTGCCGTCTGTTCCCTCAAACGTTTCTGCTTGTCGTCTGCTTGTTCAAACGGTAGCGGCCCGTAGACCAAATGTTGACCCGGTAATTGCGATAAGAAGTGCCGACCTTAAAAGACGTTCAAGTTTGAAGGTTGCTTCGGGTAAGCAGGCTCGGTGTAAACAGTAGATATAAGGAGATGTTGATAATTGTTACCAGTGGCCATCAGCGAATTGTTATGCCTGATTCACTTGGTCCGATTATGCTTGCAATTTTCAATATCGATGGCACATCTCAGCTACGGTTCAGGCTTGTGCAGCCCGAGCAGTGTCATGACTGAAAATAGCGAGCAGAACCTCACCATGTGAATCAGGCGTTAGCGTCCGTTCTGCGGCGTCCACGCGTAATGAATCGCCGCATGTTACATTATTCACGCCAAGTT